CACACACACACACTCACAGAGGTGTCAGCACACACACACAGAAGTGCCGGCACACACATTAAGCTCACAGCCAGAGTCACACAGCACGTCACAGTGAGACACACAGATTCAGGTATCCATTCTGACACAAGGGCGAAAGAACACTAATCCCCAACTAGCAGGGAGAGAAGTGCTCTAGAAGAGTCTGGAGTCAGATGAAATGCTGTTCGCGGACACAAATTCCCATAAGAACATAAGATCGGTTACAAATGCAAAGAGGCTGTTCAGCCCATCTTGCCGTTTACACCTGTGGAAGCTCTGCTGAGAGGAGGTCCTTACTGTCAGCCACACTTGGACTGACGGAACCCATTACTGCAGGAGCTCATGGTTCCCTTCTCTCCCCCCATAGATCCTGATCCGGAACCGGGCGACGGACCTGGACGCGCGCATGAACGACGGCACGACGCCGCTGATCCTTGCAGCTCGGCTGGCGGTGGAGGGCATGGTGGAGGAGCTCATCAACTGCCACGCCGACGTCAACGCCGTGGACGACCACGGTAAGGGCGCGGGGCCGCGAGGGGGGCAGGGGGCCCGCGGGGCGTGGCCCGGGCCCGGTTAACCACTCTGTCCCCTCAGGCAAGTCGGCGCTGCACTGGGCCGCGGCGGTCAACAACGTGGAGGCTACGCTGGTGCTGCTGAAGAACGGCGCCAACAGAGACATGCAGGACAACAAGGTGAGCCCCGCTCCGGCCCGCCGCCCGTGGTCCGGCTCCTTCTGCTTGGGGGTCCGTCCGAGCACGCCGACGCCTCGGTCTCGCTCTCCGAGGGCACGCGCCAGCGTGGGCACTTTCACTCTTTTTTATGCCCGCGGCCAAGACAGTTCAAAATACTCAGAAACTTAAAAAGATACGCACATTGTATCTACTGTATAATGCTGTCCTCCTGTAGGAAGGACTGAAAAATCCTTCCCAATGAATCCGTACAATTCACTAAATGGGAAGCGGCTCTATTTTAAGACCAGGACGATGCCCTGGACCTAATATGGGGCTGTATGGTGTTATAATGATTAAGTCTCTGGTCTCGTACAGCTGGGCTGTGGGTTCAAGTCCCTGCTACAGACAGTGAGTGAGGTGCTTTACCTCACCCGGTCGCTCCAGTCCACCCAGCTGTAAAAGTGGGGATGTGTGTTCTTGCGGGGTGATCCCTGTGATGGGACTGTGTTCCATCTGGGAAGGGATTCGTGTGCTTTCTGGTCTGCATAAAACACGACAGAGACCATGATGAGCTCTGGTCTGAACTTTCCTGTTGACTGCGTACAGGGCTAGACCAGGCAGGGAAGGATAATCGGCTCAAGCTGCCTTCCCCTGGGGGGTTAGAGTGATCACATTTATTTCGTGGGTCTTCCGCAGGAGGAGACACCTCTGTTCCTGGCCGCCCGGGAGGGCAGCTTCGAGGCCGCGCAGGTGCTGCTGGACCACTTCTCCAACCGCGACATCACCGACCACCTGGACCGGCTGCCGCGTGACACGGCGCAGGAGCGGATGCACCACGACATCGTGCGGCTCCTGGACGAGTACAACCTGGTCCACAGCCCGCACGCGGGGCCGGGGGGCCACCTGGGCGGGGCCACGCTCTCCCCCATGGTCTGCGGCTCCAACGGCTCCTTCCTCGGCCTGCGCCAGGCCGGCCAGGGCAAGAAGACGCGCCGCGCCAACCCCGCGGCCAAAGCCGGCTCCGCCGCGGGGCTGGCGAAGGAGATGAAGGACGTCAAGGCCAGGCGGCGGAAGAAGTCTCCCGGCGAGGGCAAGGGGCCGCTGTCGGAGAGCTCGGTCACGCTGTCCCCCGTCGAATCCCTGGAGTCGCCCCACGCCTACGTGTCCGACACGACCTCCCCTCCCCTCCTGACCTCCCCCAGCACCATGCACCCCTCCTCTGCAGGCACCATGCATCCGCCCCGCGGGCCTGTACTGCCCCCTGTCAGCCAGATGCTATCCCAGCAGGCCGGGCTGGCCATTGGCAGGCAGGGGCAGCAGCACGATTGGATGGGGCTCTCTAAGTCCGGATACGGCCAGATGTTCGGCCTCATGCACCCCCACCAGGTGAGTGGCTCGCACCCCAGCATGCACCAGCACCAGGCCCACCTGGGCGCCGGTTCCATGATGCCCACCGGCATGATGACGCCCATGAACGTCACCATGAGCCGAGAGCAGCTGCCACCCATCGTCACCTTCCAGATGATCCCGGGCAGCCAGCAGCCGCTTCTCAAGCAGCAGACCCAGGCGCCCCAGCAGCAGCAGCAGCAGCAGCACCTGCATTGCGTCCAGAACATGATGTACCAGCTGCCCGACATGGCTCACCCAGCTGCTGTGCTCACCCAGTCACCAGCTGATCCCCAGAGGCCTCTGCCACCTTACCAGACCCTGCAGAGCCCCGTGGATAAATATCCCACCCCTCCCTCTCAACACAGCTACACCACGGCCACCTCCGATGGCACGCCCAGCCACGGCGCCCACCCACCCAGCGAGCACCCCTACCTCACCCCCTCGCCTGAGTCGCCCGATCCCTGGTCCTCCTCCTCTCCTCATTCTAACTCCGACTGGTCCGACGTCACCACCAGCCCCACGCCCCTGGGGCAGCACCAGCCTGGCCTCACGCTCATTCCTGAACAGCAACAACAACAGCAGCAGCAGCAGCAGCAGCAGCAGCAGCATCCGCCACCCCCTTCCCAGCGTGGCAACATGCAGGTGTATGCATAGAGCGCCCCCTGCTGGCAGCGGAGTCAATCACAGCTGACGCACTGCTTCTGAAACCAACACTCTCTCAGTCCAGTTCTTCCTTCTGGTCATATAGCTGCGTATTTATTTTTTTTTCCCCTCAAAAGCAGAAATACGTGCCATTACCTTGTCTGTAACAACATCAGTTTTTAAAATCAAGGCTTTTACTTTGGATGAAAACTAGGACTGCTGACACAGATCCATTGGTATTCAGTATTCCGTGGCAACATTAGCCATTAAGCTTTAAAAAGCAATTTGAAGGTAAGAAAAAGATTTGCCTCGAAAAGTACCCTCTTTGCCTTAAAGGCTTTCCTCTACAGTGTGTGTTCCCTCCTTCTGTGTGAGAGTCAGGATCCTAACATAGATCCTAGACTGACCTGAGGAGCCATCTCTTTAGATAGGACCCGCTGGGTCACATTTTTAGTTAGTGGTTTTTTTTGAAGGATGTCGTTTTTTTTCCTCCCATCTCTATCTTGTATTTATAAAATGTTATGCTTTTAGGAAGTGTTTGTAGACAAGACGCCTGAATAATAAGGGTACTCTGAACAGCCATCTAAAACACCTTCGGAACAGAAGTAATACGGTCTGTACTTTATGAACAACGTCTGTATTCTGTTGATATCGACAACGAACCTGTGGATCGTAAGTTCAGCAGTGAAGAGAGAAGGGTGTGTCTTCTGCCATCAGGCTGATGAACCAGAGTGTTTAAAGGCACCTCTGATGCCCTTGTCTGTTACGAACGGATGAATGGCAGTAGTCACCTCAGAGCTCACAGCACCAAGCTGGAGCAGAACCAGCGTTTGCAATGACTGGAAAGTAATTCATCTTCAAAATGACTGAAGTAGCCAAGAGCTGAAAAATACAGCTTTACACTTCTCAGTGGACTGTTCTATATGGGTGGACACCTTCAGACTTGATCCTTGGCCATAACGATGTGCGGAGAAGCAAAATGCTGTGTTTTTAGAGGTTCTGCTCAGCAGTGTGTCTTTAAATTAATTTTTCTTCTTTTATTAATCTTTTATTACCTGATAATGTACCATGTACGGACGTAACCCCTGAGCTCTACTTTGAAATTATGTTATATCTATGGCCTGTGTGGTAGATATCCATGTACATATATTCACATATACTGAGGCGTACACATGTTATGCCTCTGCTGGTTACAAGACTCGTGAAATGTCTTTCAGTGTATCAGTTTTTAGCTAGGTGTGATTATATGGATAGGGGATGTTCTGCTTAATGTGCCAGATGTTTGCCTCTGTACGAAACTGCAGAAGAAAACTACGTTCTTGCTCTTAAAGGATTATACACCAGCATTTTTACTGCTCTATAGCTCATGTTATGTTAGCAACATATAGCTGTTACTCTGCCTTCTTAATAAGATAGCTTCTCTGTATTGATATCTTGTTAACCCATAATGTCTCTGTTTTTTAAAGAGGAGAAGAGGCCTCATGCAGAAAAATATTTAACATGATAAGGGTCTTATCATCTTATCCATAAGTACGTCAGTGGATCGCACCTCATCATTGTAAAACTGTTTGCAAAAAAGGCCGAGAGGCTCTAATTTAAGTCCAGCAAAGAGCTAAAGAGAAGACTAATTGTTCTACCCGTTTAAAGTGTAAGGCAGGACACTGCTTTTTACTTGTTTTTTTTTAAGAAATATTACTGTGATTTAGAAGAGTGTAAAAAAAAAAAACTAGTTTGTACCAGACGTTTTGGGAGCTGTCTTCGCCCTGTGTTACGTCTGTGATCCCTGTGAAGAAATACGGAAACATGAAATATCGAGATCAATACAAGTTCTGCACTGGCGGGTTTGAAGTTCAGAGCAGCTGGTGGGAATTGCACTGTGGAGACTTAAGACTGTGAAGAACCCTGTTCTGACAGCAGAATCTGAGTGTCAGTCTCGCAGGCGGGCAGGTAATCTAGCTATCGACACCTGGAAGAGCTCGACTCCTGCAGTCTGGTGCTAGAGAAAGTTTGAAAAAACTGCGCCGTTGTTGCTATTATTATATTTTCTACAAATTCTATTGTATATTGGTTTTTTTTTAATGTAAATGCTTCTAAAGTCTTATGAAAAGGTACCATTTTATTGCAAGGTTATTGAAAAAAGTTTAAATCACTGTTACAATCAGTCTTTTTCTTTTGTTGTAATTACCCTGTGATTTTTTTCTCTAATTTTATAAAATAACGTCAGAAGTGTTTTGAAGTTTGTGGCTAGTCCCTGTTTGTAACAGAACTGGAAATGGATTTTCCATTTTTACCACACAAATTGTTCAACATGCATAGAAAATTGCATTATTGTGTCTTAATGGATGACTGCCTCAATGAGATTAAACTACGGTGTGGCCGGAGTGGAGACCGGTAGGGGGAGTTAGAATTGGTACTGCGTCTTAACAGACTAGTACGGTGATTTGGACAATCATTAAAATTCACCTCTTGCATGTACAGCATATTGTTAGCTAATACTGGAAACAGTCGTCAGCCTGATGCTGATGATGAGACAACTACGAGGATACGCCATCTCTATGCTCAGGGGGCAGGGCTACATGTTGCACTGAACAGAGAGAAGGACGGGTCTGAGGATTCTTCTGCACATCCAGGGGCTAGTGGCTTATTAATCTCACGGCTCTCAGGCTGGCCACCAGCAGAGTAAAACAACTCTGCCTGGACAGTTAGGCTCAGCGCTTCTATGACTAGGTTTCACTTTTCTCTTAAGTGGCCTTTAACCAGTGTGGAACCAGTGTGCTTCCAGCAAAGGGGCACAGTTAGTTTGTGTCACCCATCTTGTGCTTTCTCAACCTTTCTGATTTCCTTCCCTCCTACCCCTTCTTTTTAGGTGTTTTAAGTGTTAGTTTGCCTCTGCTCGTACCTCCAGGTGTTCTCTAAGCTGGGTTTAACTCTCTCTTGCACACGTTTGGGTGTGCCCACTGCTGCGGTTGTTTTCGCTAGTGAGCTGCAACTGTATCTTGCTCACCCAAGTAATGTTCCTGGTCAAATATGCAGTCGGTAGCTTTGTTTGTGAAGGGCGGTGAAGTTACAGTTTCAGGAAACATCTGTTTAAGTCTTGGAGGAAAATGGAATTCAGACTTCCCACATACAGGAATGCATTGAACTCCACTGGACTGTTAATTACTGATCAACAAAAGTCTTGTGAAGGTTCTGCTACATCAGGGTTAAGAAACCTGCCAAGCAGGAATGACCTAATAGAGCAGCTTTCATCTGTCAGTAGTCCTACACTCCACATGCAATGAATGTGACAGGAATGGGTTCAATGGTAGTCAAGTAAGGGCAGAGCCTAATAGATACTGCAGTTTTATTTGTTTCAGTCCTGGATATGAGTGCAAACAGCCTGACCACATACTGTATCTCCTTGTCCTCTGACCTGTTTTTTCCAACAGTGTTGTGTAGCCTTACTCCCTGAAAAACAGATGGGATAACCCAGATTTGAAGAATATTACAGGCAGTATAATAGTCTGAGTTACAGAAAAAAAGCTCATAGTTAAGTTGATAGTAAACCTTTTTTTATACTGTATATAAATGATATTTTTATGTATATCCTTCTTTGTCTGTTTTCTAAATTCTTGTTCATGTTATATGAAGTAGTTTTTCTTCTTTCTCAAATAGAAGGAACCCTTTATAAGAAAGTTTACTTTTTTTAAAAAAAACAGATGCCTAAATAAAACCTTTTTTTTCGTACCAGACTGGTGGAGAGTTTGATGTTGGCAATGTGATGCTTTTTATTTCATTTCTGACAGGCTAGTTCTGTGAGCTAAAATTACTTTTAAAAACAGGAACTGTCTGGTTTTTGCCTCAAATTGGCACCAAACCCACCAGAATGTTAAGGATGGGGTGAAGATAACAGTTCAACATTGTAATCTCTCATCACAAATCTCCTTTATAAAAAGGAGAACATTTACAAAATCTCCTTACAAAAGGGCAGTTTGTAGTGCAACCCCGAATATTATTCAGTGGGAAACACTTCAGATACTGTATGTGTGTTGAGGTTGTTAGTTTACAACAGTACAGCTCCGTACAAAATACATATAACAGATTACCCAAATGGACCACCACAACACAACAAAATAATATACAACAGTGAAGTGGAACAAGAAGTGCAGATATCATATTTGTGTATACTGTATATCTGAGCCTTTATGGTTTCAGAAAGGTATATTTCCGCTCTGGACAGTTGAGAAAAAATCTCGACTGGGAGCATGAGAAAAATCTCATTTCTTACACTGAGCGTCAAAAGAAACCAATCTCCGTATACATGCTTGCCTTTAGAGAAGTATGGTATACAGATTTGGGACATTGAATTTGGCATCGGTTTGAATAACCAATCAATTGTAATTGTTCTTGATCCACTTGAGTGACTCTCTTGCATGGTCTATAAGTCAGCTTATTAGTGCGACGGTCGATTGGGCGCAGGCGATGAAGTGATTTAAACTGTTGAATATTCATCCATCCATTTTATCCAATTCACAGTCTTCGGGGAGCTGGAACTTATCCCCCGGCAAGCATTGGGCGCAAGGCACCATGGACGGGACGCCAGTCTATCGCATGACAGACACAGAAATGCACACAGCCAGGTCTTTGGACTGTGGGAGGAAACCTATGGGAACGTGAGGAAAACATACAAACTCCACGCACATTTTTTGTTGTTGTTTCTGTCAAAATATACTTTATTTCCAAAAACAGCATCTCACAAGAACACATTCTCACAAAATTAGTAAACATTCTAACCAGGTATAAACTTTCCATGCAATAAAACTTTCCGAACGGGGGTGAGTGTCCATTGTCAATTCATGCAAGTGGATGATGGGGCCAGATTTGTGCAACTAAAGAGTCCCTCCAGGCCCTACCGCTTGCTCTTGTCCACTAGTCCCTGTACAGGGCCCACAGTCCTCTCCAGCGCTCCCTCGCTGTGGAGAAGCCCCATTTGGCAACATCGCGCTTCATCCTCCTTCTGAGGTCCTTCTGTGCCACATGAGAGCGCTCCTCCACGCAGATAGAATATCCAAGGAAAGTAAACACGGGAACCAGTTTTCCCAACTTACCAGAGAACATGCCAGCGGACTAGGTCCGTCACTGGAGGCTGGAGTAAATTGGCGAGTTGTCTTTTGCCATCTGAGGGGTCCGCAGCTTTTTGTCACCTGGCAAAACGTTAAGGACAAACCGGACTTGTCCGCCGTTTACTATCAAAGGGCCAAGCACTAACTGCCCAGCACAGTTCAAACTGCATCATCCAGTTTGCCGATGACCCGACAGTGGTGGGCTCCATTAGCAACAGCGATGAGGCGCCACACCGAGAGGAGGTGGAGCAACTAGTGGACTGGTGCACAAGCAACAGGCCATCTTTTAATGTAAACAAAACAAATGAGATAATCACTGACTTCTGGAGGGCCGACGCTGATCACCCCACTGTACATGAACAGCTCCCCTGGGGAGACAGAAGCACCTAGTTTCTTGGTGTCCACATTACAGATGACCTCACTTGGTCCCTCAATACCACCTCCCTAGCCAAGAGAGGACAGCAGCGTCTCTATTTCCTGCGGCGAATGAGGAGGTCAAACCTTCCCCCACCCATTCTTATCAAATTAGGGAAGTAATTATCTCACATTCGCTGCACATCAATTGGATCACCACGGGACTATGTCTTGTCCCCTCTGCTGTACATTTTGTACACTAATGATTGCATAAGCAGGAGATAGGAAGGAATATAAGTGGCAAAATTATCAGGAATAATCACTTAAGTATCCTTTACAAACAGAGGGTGACCAAGGAAGCCAAAAGCATTATGGAGTGTTTGTCTCACCCCCTCCATTGCGAATTCACACTTCTCCCATCTGGGAGACGCCTCTGTGCCCCCAGGTGTAAAACCAACAGACTCGGGAAATCTTTCATTCCCACTGCAATCACACTCTTAATGCAGAGTAACTACCTTGTCTCTTGTTTCTTTTCTCCTATAACACTACTGTGTTCTCTTCCCTTTTGATGATGTTTATTTGTCATTGTGTTGTGTTTAACTGTGCCGTAAAAAAAAACAAATTTCCCCTAGGGGACAATAAAACTTGAATTGTTCGAAAACAAAGAGATTTCAAATGTACTTAGTACTGATGACGACGAAGCTCAATAATCGCCTCTGTGAGGTAGTCCGCCGCTCCGCTAGATGGCAGTCGTGGCTTCTCTATTGCACTGTTCAGAAAAAAAACATAGGAGGACCAGGAGGCGAGATGTGGAAAGAGATGGGAAGGAAGTGAGTACGACTAAAGTACAGCAGTTAAACAAACAGTGAACAGATCATGACGGAGGCCCAGTGGTGCTTTTTAGGGGACTGTAGTTACTTTTCAGAACGCCGCGCCTGATCCTGACCCCCCGATTATCGTTTTGCAGCCTGACCCGCTTTCGGAGTGGGAGTCGTCGGCGAGGAGAGCGACTGCAGTCGGCTGCGCTGACCGCAAGCCCGGCGGGGAGAGCCGGTGTCCGGGAGCCGACTTACACAGGTATGACGGTCGAGACGGGAGGTCGACAGCCACGGATCCGGGATCGCCTTTTTATTTTGCGCACCTAAGCGGAGAGGCCCTGGGAGTGTAAGCAGTGATGAAGTTACAGCACTGCATGCAGATGCTCAACTTCCGTATTAATGTTATTTACGTATGTTGCATTTCCTAAGCGCTTTAATTTAAACCCGTCCCCACTGTATCGGCATTAACGGTGCTTAACGAGCCTTATTGCACGGACGATCCGCCCTTCTAAGTAGCGACTAGGTCGTGCTCACGGTTTAGGGACGATAACACTTGGGGGAAACGGGGAGGCGATGCGTTAAACTTCGTATTGGTGAATAACTAGACTGCTCCGCAGGGCTGTTAATTTCTTAAAAAAAGAAGACTAATTTCTGAGTAGAAACCTGCTGCGGGAGGGGGAAGAGGGACACGGGGGACAGTGGGTGACTGTGTGGATTTTACACGTTGCTGCCACGCCTCCGCCCTGCACACGTCAGACCGCGGCTGCAGGGAGCGGGGCGGCGTGAGGCCGGTTCCTGGTTACGTGTTTGACTTTGGGGAGCGAAATGTGTCAGTCCTCCTTCCAGATACTGGGGAGGAGGAGTGATCGGTTTTCCACATCCTGTACAGTTGAAAAGACAGGGGGCCCACAGGTGCTCGTTAGCTGAACCGGAGCTGCTGTTGGAAGAGAGACCTTTCTGCGAGAAGCCTCCCACTCAGGTCGTGGAGGAAACCACACTCTTAGCGGGAAGGTTAACGGGGATAGATCTGAGTATAACATAATGTATATCAAATGCAATAGCGTTTTAACTACCCGAGATGCACGTTTCGGGATCTTCTGGGAAGGCCAAGCGATGCCCACGTGGATCCTGGAGTAAGAAGCGCGGATTCGAGTAACTCTGCTGTCCCGTCTGCGGAGGTCTCTGGACTGGGCTTCGCTCGCATTGCTTGGTTTCTCCACACCTCGATCACCCCCAATGATCGTCCTCTCGGCTGCTTCTTCGGGGTGTACCGCCTTCCGCTAAATGGTGAGGTAGTTCCCAACTCTTGGCCGCTTCGGTTACTGTAGACCCGTGGAGAAATTGCTGCCATTATGGGATCGAAGACACCCCATCCTGCTGCTCCCTGTGTGGTGGGTCCCTTGTGGTATGTAGCGCGCTGTAGGGATAAAAGGCGCTCTGTGAAACGCAAGGAATTAAATGCCGACCGGCGAGTACGATCACACTGGCAGCGAGGCTCTCCTTGTCATGAGCGCTCGGTTTCTCACATTTGCTTTGAGTGGAGTGTCCAGAAAAGCGCTATATAGGTGGAAGCAATTATGATTAATAATTACCTGCCAGTGCATTTCCAGCTGAGCACAGGATCATGTTTGTACACTAACCTCAGTAATGGCATTTCAGGCAGAATCTGCCCTGTCATTTGCCGTACTCCTGTGAGTATAGTGCACACTTTTTGTGATACTGTTAGCTTCCATCTTAAAAGTGCGTTTTCTGCTTGTGTGCAATGAGGAGTCTCCTGTTCTTTCTGTACGGTGTGTAACATACCAGGTATACACTATAAAGGCAGTATGTTTCAAAAAGTATCTTGCACTTTTTTTTTTGCGCATTAAAACATACACTTCAAATTGGAGGGTTGCTATATTTGAAGGAATATGGTACAGTGTGGTAGTAGGATTAATATGGTCCAGGTGTTTCAGGAAGCCTGTCAGTGAAGTGAGGATCAAAGACTTCCTGAAAATGATAATCCCCTCATTGTACCTCTTCTGATCATGGTGGTAGTGTCCTCTGAGTCTTTCAGCAAGGCTTGAAATCCACCTGTGTTACACAGACAACCGAAGCCAAAATCACGCAGCTCTCCTCCTCTTCCCCCTGCTGCTCTCCATGGTGAATCCTATTTGAACTTCCTCATTCACGTGCAGATTTCTGGTTTCTACTTTTTTTGCCCCACCCTCTCTCTTTCTGTCCACTCTGCCGGCTTGTTCCTTCCCTCCTGCGCGCAGTTGACAGAGGAGCAGCAGGTGAAACAGTGTCCTCCTGTTTCTTCCTGCTTGCAGCCATGGAGTCCGAGGAGCTAGAGTCTGAAGAGGTGCTTATTATGGTGAGCGAGGAAGTAGCAACCGTTCAGAGACAATGCTACTGAAAAACTACCCCCCGGGAAGCTTTTCAGTCTGCACTCGCTGATCGAGAGGAGAAACGTCTTTTTCGCTTTGAATTCGCTTCAAGCTCAAGTTGGGAAGGTGGTACGTAGAAACAGAGGTTGGTCATATTGTTCGCTGGTACCGATCCACAAAAATAGGTGACCTGTATATATCCAATAATTACTTTTTTCACAGGAAGCCGTGCTGTCCTGCTCTAATGAGTTCTGTCTTTGTTATAATTGCGTTTGCTGGAGTGTGGGTTTATTAGGGTGTGACACTGGACAGGCTTCGGGGGTCTTCGGGGTGGTGTTCTGGGGTCCCTGTGGGAAGTTCCCTTTTCCGCGTCTGTTGGTGAACCAGGAACGAGACGAGCTGACCCTTTCGCCTGTGAAGACCCTGTGAAGCCTGACTGATCGTTCTCCGTCTCGCCTCACGCTTAACCCCTTCTGTCGGCTTGGGGGCCTTTCTCACACTGGGGTCACGCCTCCCCTCAGCTCTCAGTGATGACTGATTCCTGTCTAAATCTCTCCCTTCACGTGTAGATTTCAGCCCCAGGCATTTCACTCTCCCAGATTTGGGTTTCTGTTTTCCTCTGCCCCTTCTCACAGACCTGCCCTGCTTCTGCCACCCCTGTGCTCCACGGACCAGCTGCCCTGAAATGTTCTCCGTGGCTGAAACGGTTTTCTTCTGTCTCCTTTATGTGTGGAGTTTACTTGCGCTTGTTCTTACTAGATGGAAACGGCAAAGCTTCCACATGGCCGAACAACAACTTTCCCTCAACTCGTTGGACCTGCTCGTCCTGTGGAAGTGGCTGTGCCGCTGTGCGTGTGAGCTCTGAGCAGTGGGGGGTATTGTGCTCATCGCCGGGGTGAGCGAGCAGTTGCTGGCTGTCCCGTTAATCTCTCCAGTGAGCTCTCCCAGTAATGTCAGGAATGATTGTTCTGTGGTCACACCCCATCCGGCTGTCTCCGTGTTGATTGTGCGGGAACACGAGCCGTGACGTGCGAGGTTGTGATTCTTTGCTGGCATTTACTGTGTGATTTGCAGGGCTCAAGTTCCCTCATTGACCTGCATGGAAGGATCAGATTGCAGCCGTTTTTGTTTTTTACAGTGCTGGTTTCATAGCTGTTTCTCGGGTCGGTTTTAGTGTTGTGAATTAATATTCAAAATGAATTCGAGGCTGGCTTTTAGTTAAGCGTAGAGTGCCCCAGAGTGCCGTCTGCTCAGATGTAATTGCAGCTTTAATTGTCGGTCTCAGCTGGCCTTTAATTAAGCATGGTGAAATGGGGTTTCTGTGCAAACTTTTGTGTTCCAAAATTCATTTTCCACAATGCCTTGTGCTTAAGACTCTCGCAGGGTCTCGATGAGCATTT